ATTCGGTTATTTCATTTTCCTATTCCATCATCTGTTGAGCCTTTTCCGTTTTTTTACTATCTCCGGTCAATTACTTATCCGATTTGTTTTTCATTTTCGTATTCGTTTCACTTCTTTTCCTGATTTCCTCTTTTTTTCCTTTTTGACTATCAGGTCCATTTCATGCCCTTTCCTTTATTATTTTGCATGTCATTTTTGTTTTCCCGATTCTCTCATATTTTTCTTATAAACATAAAAGTAAATAATAAACACAATATTATGGATCTTTGTATCCTTCGTCCTTCCCTAATCCTTAATAATCAAATATTCCTACTACTAAATCATTTATGTAATTTAATTAAGAATAAAAATTATTCTTATTATAACATAGATCAGCTAATCGTCTAATTAATTAAAACATGAGCAGAAATCTTGCGTAGTTTATTGTCCAATCTAACCGGGCAGCGGCGACAGGGGTTGCGCCGCTACCAGAAGCGGCGTCGCAGGAGGCGGTGGTGGCCGGGCGGCGAGGCGGCCACGACGACCTGTTGGGGGTGGGGAGGCGAGCGGAGAAGGAGAAGGGGGTGGGGAGGAGGTGGCGGACGCCGACGAGTTAGTTGCCGCCGCCGGCAGCGACGACGAAGAGGACGTAGCCGCTAGGGCTCCGCCCTAGCGAGTGAGGCAGGTTGCCTGTATGGATTCCTCTTTACCACTGAACTTTTCCGCTCTTTAATGGATAATTAAATATGTTTATATATTTGGTTCATAAACAATATATTTTTATATAATTTCTACTTATACCTAAGGAATTTTGGCGGACATTATTCCAAATTGCACTTTTATAGACTGTCAATGTTCTAATGTAATTATTGCTTCATTGCCAATGGATTAAATGCAAAATATACATATCTTTAGTAAAAGTAGAGATATAAGTTTTGATTTTCTCTCGTTGTAACGTACGGGAATCTTTGCTTGTTTAAAATAATTTGAGAATATTGTAATGTTTTGGGACGGAGATAGTATATACTGCTGCTAAAACTAAACGGACAAAGGGATATAGAAGAACAAAAAGAAAGTGGAGGAGTCGACTACAAGCAACCTGCCCTTTTTCGGTCCTTTGCACTGCGTTTTCTACAGCCACGCAGACGCAGGTAGGCAGCACACATCACAGAACAGCGAACACCTGCACCCCTCGAGACCGCACGCTTAGATAAAAAGAGCACTGCATGCGTTCCCAGAGCCAGGTGGCCAGGACCGGGCCGAAAGCAACATGGAGCCATGGACGACGCCAGTTGGACCGACGCTTTGCCCTATCCATCGCGACAGCGACGGCAGAGACGATAGCAGAGAGCTTCCGTGAGAGGAACAAGAAATTAAGCGATAACTACTCTACTGGCACATGCTAGTACAACGGATGATGCCGGCTTATGATCGAGTTGCAGCGGATTAGACGCCACCGGTAGTATATATGGGCAACGGGCCGGCCTAGCCCGACACGGCACGGGCCGTGCCAACTGTGCCTCTTAGGCACGTGGGCCTGGCCTTCGGCCCAGGCACGGCCTGCTGGGCTATTTTTCGGGCCAGGCCGACCCGTCAGGCACGGCCAGCCCACAGTGCCGGGTTGGCCCGAGGCCCACGAGGCGGTACGCGAGCAGCCAGAGAGGCCTAGGGGGAAGCCGGGAAGGGGAGGAAGCACGAGCAGCCGGAGATGGCAGTGGCCGGTGGCGAGCTAGCCCTCTCTTGACACCAGATCTGGCATTGGAGTAGAGTTCGGGGCCGGCGTGCTCACTCCGGCGGCGTCGCTCGACGAGAGGGAGGGGGCGTCGGCGTCCGCACGAGGAGATAGGAAAGCCGGGGAGGGAGGAGACACTCGGCTCGGCTATCGTGCGGCACGAGGGAAGGGGAGGGGGGGCGTCCCGCGTTCGTGGCGCGCTCGCCTCGCGGCCTCGCCTGACGCGAGGGAAGGGAGGGAGCCGTGGCGCATAGGAGCCAGTACAGCATGGGGAGGGGGCTGCGCGTGCGCTGTTCGCGGGGGGTTGAGAAGGGAGTTAGGGTTCAAGGGTGAGGGTGTGGGGATGGGAAGGGAGTTAGCAGGTCGGGCCGCCACCGGGCCATGCTCCGTGGACCGGCACAGCACGGCATGCCTAGGTAAGGCCCACACACGTCCTGCTGCCTCGGGCCGTGCTAGCCTAGGCCCACTAGCCGCCAGGGCGGGCTGTGTTTGGGCCGAGCCAAAAAAAAAAGGTGCTCGTGCCGGGTTGACGGGCTCAGGCTGCATGCCCATCTATAGTCGGTAGCACAAATTCTCTCGCCGAAAGAGCAAACAAAGATCGCATGGAGAAACGGAGGCATCCATGGGTGGCTGACCTGACACCCAGAAACGACCAACGAAATCCATGGCTTTTCCGGCTAAGGGCGTGTTCGGCTGGCTGGTTGCCAGCTGGCCGGCCACCTCATAGAATCACTGTTCACATTCTGTCAGAATAGTATTTTCCTCCCACAACAATTAGCTATAACAGTATTTTTCAGCGGTGCGGAACATATCCTAACCAGGCCATCCGAGATCCGAAGACCACAGCACTGGCGCAGGGGCTGGCTGGGGCCCATTCGCTGGTCGCTGTCGTTTTCATTCGGTTGTGAACTTGTCGTAGATGGATTAGATTATTACTACTGGTACTAAACTAGTGGTCTAGTGGGTGTGGACCAAGAAAGTTGCAGCAACAGGAAATACGACGTATAGTAAGTATGGTCCAGAAAAAATAGTTAAATATAATGAAGTCGGGATAGTCTGTAGTCCCGTTTGGGATCCCGCCGGATTCTTTGAATATCATCGGCCATTAGCTGGGTCGTAAACGATCGTGGATTATAAGTTAGAATCGTATTTTTCTTTCACACCAAACCAGCCAACAATAATAATCCATGATCGTTTTAGCCGAAACGAATATGCTAGATTTTGAAGAATTTCACCTTATAAATTCTAAGAATCTCATAACCAAATAAAGCTTAGATAGTACGCTTTCTGTTTCAAATTATAAGTTATTCTGATGGTTTTTCTAAGTACATAGCTTTTACTGTGTATCTAGATATAATTTAAAACGAAGGTAGTAGGAGATACTAGATTCTAAGTATCCGATTAATCCACTTTTTAAAACATCTCGAAAATAAGGATTCCAAACTTTAGGGTCGATAGAGGACAACGAAACATGATGAGATGAAACAGTACTAACTTGTTTGGTTCACTATCCAGAGAAGTTTGGCTTGCTATATTAGCCAGCCTTATCTGGGTGCAGGGACAACCTCAAGATATGCAGTAGGTGGTTGTTTGTTCACTGAATTCAAAGGACCAAGCTAAGTAGAGCGTTTTTTTTAGGATTGCACTAGAATGTCCATCTTATTAAATTGAAATAAAAAATGTTAAAATAATATTTATATTTTGCTTAAATCATCTAATTTTATCATGTTAAGTCCTAATTTACTTTGAGATAGAAAACAAATGTTAAAATAATATTTGCTTAAATAATCTATTTTATCATGTTATAAGTCCTAATTTACTTTCAAACATACTAATATGCTTCAAAACATGTTAATTATCTGTTGATAACGTCATTCATTGCTAATACGACGCTGCATCCGGCACTAGAGAAACGGATTTTAGTCTTGTTTCCCAAGCTGCTCTGCATGTCGCGCCACACAATGTTTACAACATTGACAATTGACACCACAGAATTGCGAACGTTCCAAAGTCCAGCCAGCAGGAAACCTCGTCGCACGCACCGAAATACGGGCCATATTTCCCGTCAAAGAAGCAGGCGGATCTGCAAATTTCCCCAGCAGGCCACCCCCGCGCCACCGGCAAAGCGCTTTTTATAGCGAGCGCACGCCCATTGGCCACGCCTCGCCGCCACACGGAAGACGGGAGCCCGGACCGCTGCCACCTCCCTCTCCACTCTGCAGTCCAGTCCATTCCCAGCACACCCAACGCCCACTTACCTTGCGTCCTACGCCTCGCTTTTACCGAACTACCCCTCTCTTACAACGAACACCAGGGGCAACCGCATCATTTTTTCTCTCTCTACAGAGTCCAGACCCTTGGGCCTTGTTTAGATCCCATCGAAATTCTAAAGTTTTTTCATTCTCTCTTCATCATATCAATATTTAGACATATGCATGGAGCATTAAATATAGGTAAAAAAAATAATTAATTGCACAGTTTGGTTGTAAATCACGAGACGAATCTTTTGAGCCTAGTTAGTCCATGATCGGACAAAGTTTGTCAAATACAAACAAAATGTGCTACAGTGTCCAGATTGCAAAAATTTGCAATCTAAACAAGTCCTTGTTTAGGTGCCAAAAATTTTAACAAAATAGCACTGTGGCAGTTTTCGTTGTTATTTGACAATTAGTGTTCAATCATAGTCTAATTAGGCTTAAAAGATTCGTCTCGTGGATTTCGTCTAAACTCTGTAATTAATTTTATTCTTTATTTATATTTAATGATTCATATATCTCTCTAAAGATTCGACGTGACGGAAAATTTTGAAAAATTTTGCAAATTTTTTTCAACTAAACTGCACCCAGTACGCGAAGGCGCGGAAAGGCTCCTGTCGACCTCCCGCGACGAGTACACCACCGTTCGCTGACACTACGTTGACTGACATCCGGGGCGAAGATCCCGGGCCCGCGTGCAAGTGACGCGGGTGCTGGTACTGCAGCGGACGACGTAGCGCCGCGCGCGGCGCGTAGCTGCAGGTGGTGGCGAGTAGGGGAGGGTGGTGGTGGTGGGCCCGGTTTGTTTTTTCTTTATTTTATTTTACGTGGTTTTATTCCGCCGTTTAAAAGGGAGGCCGGACCGCCACGCCGTGGCTTTCGTTCGTCTCCACGCCCCTCTCATTCGCACCGCTCCCACCCACATCCTCTCGTCTTCGCCTCTCTCCCTCTCTCTCTCTCTGCACGCCTCCACTCCGCGTCGGCTTCCGTCCGGCGGTGGTTCACCTCGCCGAGAGGCAGCAGCGCCAGCAGCCATGACCGCGGTCGACGGGGAGGCCTGCGCGGTGGTCGCGACGGCCGCCGACATCATCTGCTCTCTCCGTGGCGCGGACCTCGCCGGCTGGACCCCGCCGTGGCGCAAGCACGAGCCCGCCTGCGACGGCGGCCAGAAGGAGGGCGGCGGCGACGACGACGACGACGCGCGGGAACTGGCCTGGCCCGCGGTGGCGCGCGGGAAGCGCTCGCGGTCCCGGCGCGAGTCTCCGTCGGCCTCCGCCGCCTCCGCGGACGCGAAGAAGGAGAAGAAGAAGGCGAGGCGCGGCTCCCGCGGCAGCCCCGCGTCGCCGCTCGACTACAGCGGCGGGTCCGGCTCCGGCGCGTCCACCAGCGGCGGCGAGGACGGCGCCTTCTGCTCCCAGCCAGAGCCACCAGCGTTCCCGCCGGCCGCCGCCGCCGCCGCGTGCCAGCAGCTCGCGGCGCCCCCGCCCCCGCCCCCGCCCCCGCCCCCCAGCAAGGTACATACGTACGTGCGTGCGTGCGCACGCGCCTACTACCTCACATCTGACATCCCCGTCCCCGTCCCCGTCCCCGTCTCCTGTTGGTTTGGTTTGGTCGCTCGCGGCCGCTGTGTTGTGGGCGGTTGGTTGCTTTCCGATTCGCGTTCGTGCCTGGCTCGACGGACGGACGGACGGACCAAACTGCCCCTCCGTGTCAGCAGCACGAGGATGACTTCCCGATGACACATCGCTTTCCCCTCTCCTCCCTGCCTCACTCGACACCTTCCGCTTTTTTGTTCGCGGGACCTTTTCCCGGTCTCGCCACCCCTTTCGTAGATGGTGGAGAGTCCGGTAAAAGGAGACGCCCTGTGGTCGTCGGATACCGTCCGCCGCCCGCCCGCAGTCCTCCCGTCGTAGCATAGCAGCCCGCTGGGTTGGGTGGATGGGTTTTCTCTCGCGTGGTGGTGCTGCCACTCGGTGGGGCGGACAGTGGACAATTCCCGGAATTTTTATTCGCTGCCCCTGCCCATGCCTATTGTATAATTGTAGGTACGTGTGCTTGTTCACCGGGGTTGACTCTGACGGCGGAGGAGGAGGGGGCAGGGGCGGCAATTCACACGGGTAGTTGGGGCTGGGCCGGCTCCCACTCGACCACTCCAACCACGGGCCGCGCGGTTGTGGCATGCGTTGCGTGTGCGTCCGCCGCGCTGCGCTGTCTCCGTCCCCAAACTGTCCTCGCCTCGTGCCGCACCGGGGAACCTAAAACCCGTGGGCATTTTCGACATTATCCGGTGCTTATCCCTCGCTGCTCTGCGGTGGTGGAGCGCAGTCAAACCGGGCCTCCCAAGGGGGCCACGGCGATTGGTCCTTCGGGGCGTGGGCGTCGGGGAAGCGGCGCGCGCCTCGTGGGCGTCGCCTATTGGCGTGGGCGCCGCATGTCCGTCCGTGGCCGCCACACACGCAGCCACGCAGGCCAAACCGTGGACGCAGCGCACTCCGTCCAGTCCGGCAGTGATACGTGTCCAGGCGGCATAACGGGCCCACAAGGAATTCCTACTTTTTTCAAAACTAATAAAATTTGGAACCAGGGGAAACTCGCTATTTGCTCACTGATTCCGCACAGGTAAGGTGATGGACGCGATGAAATGGACATGTCCGCTTGTCCATGCATATGTGCTTTTGATGTCCACGCTGCCTCCCTTCATCCCATAATAACGTGCTTCATGTGATTGCCTAATCGAGATGCCGCTGCAGGAATTGCAATCTTGGAAGGAGTTGAGTTGGGTGTACAGTAGGTGGCTACTCGGCTTTTCCTCCGGTGTGCTACGTCCGTGGTGGCTACCTGGGGTTCAAACGAATCAAAGCAGACGAAGCCATGTTAGCTCGAGCTTGTTTGGCGTATAAATCGTATTTTTTAAGTCAATAAATAGTATTTTTTCTCACCAAAATCAGTTAATAGTATTTTTAATCATAGCTTATCAGCGATACTAAGCCGGAGGGAAAAAATAACACGCGTCCCGTGTTGCGTTTCGACGCCTGCTGTTTGCTGGACTATTTTTTCTTTCTTTTCTTCCGGGGGCCGGCTCCAGTCTGGTCTAGTCTAGTGGTCCGCGTTGTTTGCTTGTTCGCTGGCTACCACTCTACTAGTAGGAATACTACTCTATACCAGCATCTGAGCTAACAACCTGTAGCGCCCTTTTCTCCTGCAGGTGGGTGGCGTCGCCGGACGACGGACGATCCTCCCGGTGCCACCACCTCGGCCGGCCGGACAGCGGGCGCGGAAGAAGATGGTAAGCTCCCCTCAGTCCTTGCTCCGAGAATATCTCGCGAACAGCGCGGGCACAGCAAAAGCACGTTCGTAGCCGCGAGTACAGACTACACAGAGGATAGGAAGCAAGTGTAGTCACGGGGAAACCGGGCGGGTGGCCTACTGGCTTTCAGTGCTTCGGCGTGGTGGTGCAGGACAAAAGCGAGCAGCATAGTAGCTTTGGTCACTGAACCTTGAATGCGTTTTTCACCAGCCTACGCCGACCCCAATCTCCCTCCCCCACCATTTAGCAGTTCAGCACAGGCCGGCCAGGCAAAACAACAGGTTCCCTTTGGTTGGCCTGGTCAGCACTCACCTAGTTGTAGTAGTGGAAAGGATGTTCCTGTTCGAGTGCCTAGTGGTACGTAGCGTAGGCTGGAATAAAGCCGTGCTGCGGTGCTGGGAGTAGCAGTCCAGCACAGCCCTGAAGCCCTGCCATTCGAAGGGAAGAAGAGGGGCAGAGAGGCAAAAGTGGCATGGCATCCTGAGGACAAAAGTGTCAAAGGCCGCCCTGCCCGAAAAGATCACACACCTCATCATCATCCACCTGCTGTCCTGCGACCAAAAAGATCATGCTTCGTGTTTAAACAAAAGCTACTACTAGGCTCCGCATCTCTTTCCCGGCTTGACAACCTGCTCAAATTTGCTGTGGTTTGCAGAGGCTACCGGAGATCCAGCAGATGGTGCGGTCGCTGTCGGTGGAGAACGATGCCCTCCGCAAGGTCAACATCTCATCTCATCCTTTAAGAGAGAATGAAAAATCCGGCAACATGTTTGATCCTTGGATATGTGATATGTCCGTGGTTTTGTAGCTGATTTTTTTTTATGTTTCTGTGTAAGCAGGAGATGAAGGCGTTGCAGAGGGCTTGCACGGCGCTGTCCCAAGAAAACGGCAAGCTAGAGGTCAGTGACACACCCTTCCTTCCCTTTCGAATTCATGTGTCATTTAGGCTAGTACATATTACATGCTTCAACGCTGGGGCGGCAGCTGGTATAGCTTAAAGCACAAGTGATAAAAACTGTATTTTTATAAACTGCAACTACTAAGATTAGAGGTTGTGAAGAATCTCCCTCAGAAGCGGTTGGTCCCTGTTATTATTGGCTTTTTTATTTTATATATATTTTTTCAGCAATGCCTTGATTCGTATTGCTAGAACAAGTGGTACGGTGTGCAAATTGGTTCGGTAGGCACAGAGCTCCATTTCGCATCCCTCCCAACAACCGTCGTCCTCCGAAAAACGGATAGCGATGCTGATAAGCCTCTAGTAGCGAACGTTTAGATGTCCAATCTCCGTGCCTTTTCACTTAGGATTCCCAGGTTGGCCTACTACCACGCGACAAACCATACCTCTCTCTCTCTCTCTGTGTCTCTCTGCGAGTGGGGGCCACGTGGAGCACTGCCCCACCTGCAGCGACTCATTTTGACATAGGGCCCGTTAGGTCCCGGAGATGCCACTCCGTCCACTGCCGTTCATGGTAAGTTCCTTCTCGTGATATAGCTGCCAGCAAATGAGTGGCTTAGGGGGATGCGTGCCATGCTGTCCAACAAGGGGACGCACTAGCTCGTGTGTGGTGGCCTAGAGATGCCGATAGCCGGATTCGTTTTTCGATTAGGACCATGTATATATATGCATAGATCGTCCGGGCGTTGGGCAAACGTCCGGCCGTTGATTTTAAGCGGCCTCTATTTTTCTGTAGAAAGATTTTTCCGTGTGACTAGTAGGTCAGATGGAGCTTGCACCTGCATGTGGCAGATTTTTGCTTTCCGGAGGGAGTGTGAAGCTACTCCCTCTCTTCAAGTAAGCTCAGCCATAAACTAGTGTGACCAAAGTGCCTGCACTGCACATCACATCTGGAGGAGGCGCTGGTCGTAACTAGTCTGACCAAACAGATGGTGTTGGAGCACTTCAGCTGCACGACCTGTGGGCTGTGGCTGCAAGCCTGCAACCGACGCAGCTAGGATGTTCGAGGACTGTACACGCACGCTTCGGTTCCTGGAGCCCGTACGCTCCATAGAATCTTTGCAAAGAACGTCGCCAATTGCTGATCCACCAACCCCGCAGGGAGGCTGGCACTGGCAGGCACCCCACACGCACCTGCCCGCCTGACTTGGATCCCGGCACGGAAACGATAACCCCGTGGCCTTCTTAACGCCCTGACTCGCCCGCGTGTCCTGACGGTGCTGTGCCGAGTACTGTGTCGCAGTACTGTGATTGGCTCCATGATTTCGAAGAGATGCTGCCGCCGCAGCTTGAAGAAGAAGGACGGCTGCGCTGGGTGGGTTGGCCGGTACGCACGCCTTCACTCCTCTAGGCCAACCGACTGGGCCACTCCAGCTAAACGGCAGGAGACGTGCATGTGTACAAACACTAATGGCAGACATCCTGGATCTGTTAAGTCCTGCTTCAGGTTGTTTAATTCTTAGCGCATTCATCATGGTGGCACCTCGTTCGTTGGCCCTTTTAGCTAGGACCCCGGTTTAATTAGTGCGAGAAATGACAGTGTTCGATCGCGTCGTTGCAGTCCTTTTGTCTGCTGGATGGTCTGTTACTTGGTTCCGAATGTTGTTCATATCCATTCATATTCAGTAGATGATGCATCTCCCCCAATCTATGCTTGGCCACTATGGTATCTGACAGATTTGTTTAACCTTTTGGCAGACAAGGCTCGATCAGTCCAGTACGCTAAACGAGGTAATCTCCGTGGAGAACAAGGGGAAGAAGCCACAACCTGAGCATCAGCACACAGCTGAGCAGGAAGCTCCGAACGGCTTCGTGCTCCCTGACCTCAACCTCCCTGCAGACGTCTGATACATGCCTGAATTTGTTGTTGGCCACAATCTTCAGGTCGAATTAGAACGCTAACTGATAATTAACTGTACATAGAGGAAGCTGGGCCAGAAGGGGGTTCTGAATGATCACACTGCTTGCCAGGATACGGAAGGAGAACGGAGATTATCTTTGTCTCATAAGTTGTTGACATTTAGGGTTTAGAGCCGTCTGTAATCCTCCGGCCTGAATAATGTTGTTTTATGTTCAGAGCGGAGGATCGGTTTTTACGTTTACCTCACGTTTTCTGATAAGGTTCTTTAGTAGTGCCCCGCGCATCAGTCTGGATGGATGCGCAGTGGGATATATATGTATTTTCAGGTAGCTGAAGCTTCGAAATGAACCCATGATGTAGCTTTGTTTCATCTAAACATATACTATAGTTCAAACTGCTGAAGCTCTTCTTTTTACAGTGTCGGTTGTTGATGTGGTGCTGCGCTTGTGATGATAATGGTTTTTGCCTTAGTTGTATTCATCATGTTGCTAGCAAATAAAAAATGTTTTTGGATACTATGATGTTTTAGGATTTGGTTCGGTGTTCTTTGAATCAGTTAACATCAAGGGTAATCGATTGCGATAATCAACTGCACTGGCATTTCAAAAAAAAAAAAATGAAAGACAACGTCAGAAGTCCTCTCACAAAATGGGCTCCTATGCATCTATCGGAATGTAACCCATCGCACATGCAATGAAACCCGTCAAAGAGGCCCACTAACGAAGGATCATGGCCCACAATAATTTTTATTTTGCTTCACCTCACATTTTCATTTTATTTCTTTTTAGTAATCCTTTTTTATTCTTATTGACACTTGGTGTGTTCCTTGGTTCACGATTTCATGTTCCTTATATAAACTGGATGTATCTCAATTGAAGACTTGATTCAACATTTCACATGTAGTTTTATCGAAATGGGGAACCAATACATTAAAAATGTTTCATACTTTTAAAATTTCAAAATGACAACTATATTCATATAAGAATTCATAACGATGCATCAATTCTAAGTAACGCCATGGTTTCAATGGATTTGGAAAAGAACTTACAAAATAGACTTATGATTCATAAACAAATTTTGTTCAAATATTGAGATTCAAGTGTCGGTGCGGGACCCACGGGATACCCCGCAAGGAAGGGAGAAGATCTAGTCTAACTAGGATTCTTCCCATGTAATCTTAGTATTAGTATTATTCTGTAATCCTACTAGGAACTTTTATTGTAAACTGACTAGGATTCTGGCCTCCTGAATATATAAAGGAGGGCAGGATTCTTAGAGAAGAGAACGACACAACACTTGACAATCAATCCAACGCAAAGGCTAATGCCGACTGGACGTAGGGCTATTACTCGATCACGATCGAGGGTCCGAACCAGGATAAGTCGACTGTCTCTTGCGTTCACCGTCGAGTTCTGCATACGCTGAAGCCCGAACATACTGCCCCAGGAACCCCCGTGGCAGGCTATCGGTGGTCAAACATCGACAGCTGACGCGCCAGGTAGGGGCTTTCGGCGAATTTGCATCCGAGAGCTCGACGGACCTCGACAACATGATCTTCTCGACGGGATCAACCTTCATCTTCGGCTCATGGATCTGCGAGGCGGACGACAATGGCAAGCTCCAAAGCTGTCTCCTCGAAGATTCGAATCACCATGAAGACCATTCTATTTCGGCAACTACAACAGGTCAACTCACTGGAAGATTCACGCAACTCACGATGTCCGATTCGATTCAGATTTCTTGACTTTGCACATCCGACTCAAACTCAGGTTCCGCATCCGAAATGGAGTCTTACCCGAGTTCTTTCGAGAAACTGAGTTCTTTTCTGATGGGGCTTAAGAACGCAGCCTTGGTCTATCAAGAATACAACTCAGAAAACACTCAGAGTCTTTTCAAGAAGTCAGGTCTTTTTCCGTTCAGACTCCACAACATGGCAAAGTCTTATCAGGCGCGGCTCGAAGGATCCCTCGATCCAGTGCTTAGAATGCCACTAAAAGGAGCTCAGGAAGGTCTTGTACTAACTATAACATCTCAAGACTGCATCGTCCACTGGTCAGGTTCTATTCCTGAGGATAGCAGTACCCGACTGGTCGACACGACGACAACAATAATTCTACCCTACCAAGAAGGAGATTCGATCTACGACCTTGAAGCCTCTACTAAAGTTATCAGCAACTCCGACAGTGTGGAAACCAACGCCGATAACATAACAGTTCACGCACGGGAAGTACTCATGTTTCGCCGTCCTCGACCACCATTGATCCCCCCAGAAGCGCCCAACATCAGGTCATCGGATGAATCTGAGTCCAACATATCACCCTTCGCCCAGGGCTATGGTGGTGAGACCGAGAATCAGAGGCAAGCCAGGGAAAGAAGAAACAAATTGAAACAAGGACGCCAACGACGTGCTAGGCAGCGCAAGGAAGCTTGAATTAGATATGTGTCAGATCTGGTCGAGTACAATAGAAGAAAATCAGAACAAGAAGCCGAAGAAAGGCGCACAGCAAATACACCTTACAATAGGATCCGAGAAGCATTAGAAGAACTCGGAACGACCTCACATCCCAGTGAAAAACAAGAACAACTCCGGGACTTTCTCCGATCAACAGTCCTAAGAACACACAACGGAAGGACCCGTTCAAGACTACCTGCCAGGTTAACATCTCATGAGTAGGAAGATCAAAATCAAAGGAAGTCCGCTTTCGAGAGACTTGGACCAAGTGGAAGTCACAACAGAGAAAGTAGAAGGGACCATACTCAAAACGACCGAGTTGAACAACCAAGAAAGGTCAGAAGCAAAGCACCTATTCAGACAGCCACGTAGAACTACTCTCACCAAGACAACAGTTGGCAAGAAGGGGGTGCTAAATTAGAATACACAGAAGCCAGAACGCACGATAGGTTCCCCTATTTTGCAAATAGACTTGCTTCAATACGACTACCTCACAAGTTCAAGCCGTCCAACCACTCTAAGTATGATGGCAAGACCGAGCCAAGGCAGTAGCTCAGAATTTACTCGTAATCGATCGAACTAGCCGGAGGAGACGACGATATCAAGACCTTGTTCTTTCCCATGGCCCTAGAAACCATGCCCCTCCAATGGTTCGACAAATTGAATCCAAGGTCAATCAGAAATTGGGAGGACTTGCAAAGAGTTTTTTGTGAAAATTTCGCAGGTATCATTACACACCCCATCACCCACGCAGAATTAAAGGGACTCAAGCAGAAAGGGGGTGAAAGTCTCAGAGATTACTATCGATGATTCGGTGAACTACGTGCTCAAGTACATGACATCACCGAACGAGAAGTAATCGAAGCTTTCTCCCACGGAATCATGGCCAGGTGACAATTTCAGGACTTCTGCAAAGAAAACCCGAGAAACAATGAAGAATTCAGACGCACGGTAGAAAAGATGATTACTGCAGTGGATAAGACATGAGAAAGGTTCCCGGATAGAAACAACCGAGACAACTCGGATAAGCAAAATCATCAAAACAACAGACATCAGGAGAGAAAACGTGGACCAGACAACACCGTTGCGGTGACTGACAAATCAAGGAAGTTTTCTAAACCCAGAAGGTATGACGACATTGAAAACATGCGTTGCATCTTGCACCCCAAAGGAAATCACACCATCGGAAATTGCTACACCTTCAATGATCGATACACAAGAAAAGATAGTAAGGGGAACACTAAAGAAGACAATCAAAAAAAAGAAGAAGACAACCACAAAGACAAGGGATTCCAAAAATCTAGGGGACAGTAGCAGTGATCTTCGCCGGGGTTCCAGATTCCAGAAGCAAACATCAAGAAAAGCTAGCACGACGAACCATTATGGCAGCAAAATCGGCTACTCCAAGATATCTCAATTGGTCACAGTATCTAATCCAATTTTCAAGAGAAGACCAATGGACTAGCGTAGGAAACGTAGGCCATTACCCACTAGTTCTAGATCCAACTATTGCCAGAATGACTGTCACAAAAGTACTAATCGACGGGGGAGCCGGACTCAACATTATTTTTCAGAAACTCTAAGAAAGATGGGACTACAACTCGACGGGATGATTACACCAACGAGCACCCCTTTTATGGCATAGTACCCGGCAAGGCAGTAATGCCACGTAGACAAATCACTCTACCGATTATTTTTGGAACTCCCTCGAACTACCGTACAGAGTTCATCAAGTTTGAAGTTGCAGACTTCGATTCATCATATCACGCAATCCTCAGGTGCCCAGCACTAGCAAAATTCATAGCGATACCGCATTATCCGTACATGTTGCTTAAGATGCCAGGGCCTAACGGTGTCCTTTCTCTTCGAAGTGATTTGAAGCGCGCTTTTGACTGCGACGTTTAGGCAATTCAAATTGCAGCAAAAGCACAAGCCGTCGATGGTAGCCACTATTGCAGCACAAATAAGCCCAGAAGAGCTAGATATACCGGCTAAAAACCCAGCATCCTCGCACCACCAAAAGAAGTCGACGTCAAGCAAATTGACCTGGGCACCGGTGATCCATCCAAAACGGCGACCATCAGTGCCCACCTCTCTGTAAAATAGGAACTTGCGCTCACCAACTTTCTTCGGGATAACAAAGATATCTTCGCTTGGAAGCCGGCCGACATGCCAGGTGTACCAAGAGAGTTGGCTGAGCATAGAATTGATATCAATGAAGGCTCCAAGCCTATGAAGCAACGGCTACGACGATTCTCACCCGACAAGAAGGCAATAATTAAAAAAGAAATCATAAAGCTAATGGCAGCCGGATTCATCAGGGAAATCCTTCATCCAGATTGGCTAGCAAACCCAGTTCTAGTACAAAAAAAAGAATACAGACGAGTGGCGCATGTGCGTCGACTACACATACCTCAACAAACACTGCCCGAAAGATCCGTTCGGGCTACCACGCATTGATCAGATAGTTGATTCAACAGTAGGATCTGTCATATTATCCTTTCTTGACTGCTATTCAGGATATCACCAGATCGC